GTCTCCTCAATTAGAGTGAAAGCTCCTTGAGGGCAGGAACTATTTTTGATTCTTCTTTATATCCCCAGCACTTAGCATAGTTCCTGTCACATAGTAAGGGGCTGAAAAATACTTATCGATTGACTAATTGAGTGACTTGACTGACTGATGTGAAGAGATATTACTGTCCACCTTGACATTGTGCAGATGTTTATTTTGAGGGGGTTGGGGGGTTGAGGTTGGGTTTGGGCAAAGCAGCATGTCACACTGAAATCTCTGGGGAAAAGTCTGGTGACTCCTAGTTCCCATTTCTGGGATGTTAAGAGTCCACATTTCTACAACTTCTAATAATAATTATTATTATAGTAATTCCCAGGGAGGCCACGTGGTATGGTGGCAAAAAGGTTTAGATTTGGACTCAGAGGACTTGGGGTTGAATCCTGGGACCTATATGATCCTGAGCAAGTTACTCAACCTCTATGTGTCTTAGGGTCACTATTTATAAAATGAAAGGGTGGGACAAGGTAATCTCTAAGACTCCTTCTGTCTCTAAGTCCGTGGTCTTTCTGTTTCTGTGTTTGACCCAACTCACACATCCATCATATCCAATGTCCTTTGACCAGAGAGGTAACCCAAAATTTTCCACATCTTCCTTTCTGGAGGGTTTTCTCTCTCTCTTCTGATTTCTTTGTTTCTTAAGCCTCTGCACTATAGTTTTTGAATAATGATGAATTGTTGATTTTGTTGTTTGGAGTACTCTCACTTCTTGTATTACCTTAACCAGGGGTGGGGAACCTGTGGCCTCCAGGCCACACGTAGCCCTCTAGGACAGAACAAATTTGTTCTGTGAAGTTTGGATTCAAAGGGTCGTATCTGAGGACCTAGAGGGCCACGTGTGGCCTTGAGGCCTCAGGTTCCCCACCCCTGCCTTAACCTTTGTCTTTTCATTTTCAATTGATAATTAGGGGTATTAGTAATTTCTGATGTATTTTTGTTTTCTAGATCCTACTCTACATTTTTAAAAATTCTTTTTCCTTAGGTAATATAGTGATTAAGTTTTCTGTCACATTCATTGAAACAAGGTACATGTTCTTTTCTATGTGTTATCACACACCTCACATCCCCAAATGTTTTTTTTTCTCCAGACTAAATATCCTTTAACCAGCAGTTATCTGGCATAATATGTTTCCACAGGTTTTCAATAGTTCTCTCATGACACTTTTGCCGTAGTGGTATTTGACACTTGTCTTTAGGAGTATTCCTAAATAGCTACACCTTTCTTCCTATGGTCCTTAACATGGTAACACATCCCTTCCCCCAGAACCTCTGGGCTGCTCTTCCTATGGTCCTTAACATGGTAACACATCCCTTCCCCCAGCACCTCTGGGCTGCTCATCCACTTTTGGTGTCCACCTTCACCCTATTCTCACCTGTAGTTCCAAGAAGCTGTAACATACTCAGCAGCCACACCTGGTAAAACCATCTTGGTGGACAGGCTAAACAAGCAGAGGGTAACTGGGAAGCCTCAAAGCTGTCAGTAAATTAGAGGGATGTCTATTCCAAGAACGTGAAAACTTTCCCCAGCAAAGTGAGTAAGATGAGAACAATTCTCTTCAATGGCCATGAAAGCAGCTGACGCAGTCTCTCTGGAGTTCTTAGTGCTTGCTTAATCAGACATTGAAGATACCAAGGTCATCTACTGCATCATGGGCCACTTTTCCTTTTGTTCTGCCATTGGACTTTGATGACTCAGGAAGAGGGAGTGAGGCTAATGACTTTGTGTAACTCTGCTTCACTTAAATCCCATTCATACACAAGTCAAGATATCCCCTGTGATATGTCACCGGTTCTCTTCAAAAATGAAGGACGAACAACAAACAGAACAGCCATGGTAACAACTGCAACTTATGTATCTATTCATGATGGTGACTGAAGATTATTAAAATTATTCTATTTTAGCATAGTTGTTCTATTAGTGAGGTACCATGGTACAGTGGGAAAAGCACTGGATTTGGTTTTAGGGGACCTGGATTCAAATTTTGCTTCTTTCACTTGCAATCTGTGTTACCTTGGGTAATTTGTTTAACTTTTCTTTCCCTCACCTCTAAAATGAGGGGGTTGGACTACATGACCTCTAAGGTATCTTCTTGTTTTCAATCTTTTCAAAATTCTGTTCTAAGTATACCCATTCAAAGTCATTCAAGTCACCAGAATTATATTAGCCATCCATTTCATTATTAGGTAGCGTTTTCAACGTCTTCAGGTTCTTCAGCGTTTCCCTCTTCAGATATTGAATAACTCCTAAACTGTCAATCTTCTTTGATTTAATCTGGGTTCAGGCATGAAATGATTTCTTACAATTACCTTATAATGATCTATAATATTGGAGTGCAACCCGGAGCAGAAGATATCACTGACTAAAACAATAGGAAGCCCTTGTCAAGAGCTGGTAAGATCTGCTTCCAATTCTGCTACGAAGTGGTACTGGCATCTAATAAAAGCATTCATCATTGGAGTTCATTTCACATACATTCAAAATTTGCTCACTTTAGCTAGTTAGTTTAGTTAGGCAACACCATCTGCCCCTAAGCATTTACTACCAGATGGGGTGTTATCGTTTCTAATTTGTTCTGATATATCTTGTCTATTTGAGGACACAAAACAAGAAAGAGTGCTACTCGTTCCACTGTCATCCACATTAAGCCGATCACAGCAATGGTTTTGGGTAGGGTGAATGATACTGACCAATACAGCTGACAAACGTCGTTGTTGTTGTTGTTGTCGTTGTTGTTGTTGTTGTTGTGTTGTTATTTATTAGTGTTTCACTCGTGTCCAACTCTTTGTGACCCCATTTGGGGTTTTCTTGGCAAAGATACTGGAGTGGTTTGCCATTTCCTTCTCCAGCGCATTTTATAGATGAGGAAACTGAGTTAAACAGGATTAAGTGATTTGCCCAGGGTTATATAGCTAGTAGATGTCTGAGGCCATATTTGAACTCAGGAAGATGAGTCTTCTTGACTCCAGGCCCAATGCTCTATACACTGCAGCACCCAGATGACTAACTATAGGTGTGCACATCTATCACATGCCACTATTGCATCATAACAAAATTGGAAACTGATCTAATTCCTCTTTTTTATGTTATCCTGTACCCCACCCCTAGCATTTTCTTCTGCAAGCTAAATATGCTAGTTCCTTAACCAGCAGTTATCTAGCATGATATCCAATCCCCTGACCAGGGGCCTTTTGACTGAATCCAAACTTCATGGAACAATTTGTTTTGATTCTACACTTGAGGACCTAGATGGCCATGTGTGGCCTTGAGGCCACAGGTTCACCACTCCTGCCCTAACCATCCTGTCATCCCTCCTCTGCATTCACTCCATTTGGTCAATGTCCTTCCTAAAACATGGCACCCAGAGCTGAGCACAATTATCCCCTACAATTTATCCCTTTCAGTTAGACACATTACCACCTAACAGTTAAAGAACTGAAGAAACATTGCTAGTCTTACCCCTTTTATGGCACTAAATATTCTGGCAAAACTGGTCTACAGAGCCCATTTCTCATAGTTTAAATGGCAGCTAAGGATTATTTAAGTGTCATCTCTTATTCCCTTACCTTTGCAATATTATGCAAATAACTGAGAAATGTGTCTTGGTTTGCTGGCCCCAATTTATTTCCATTCATACACATCAGAATTTCAAAGGATCACAAGTATATTAATATCAAATTACTTTGGGCTGTGCCATAGCGACACAAGACACACCTGGTTGTTTGTTTGTTTGTTTGTTTGTTTGTTTTTTAAGGAAATTGGATGCTGCTCAACAGCATCATGAATTGGAAATAGCAGCGGAGTCAGGATGTGCAGATTCTAGCACCTAGTTTCCATAAACTACTAACGTGACCTTTGATAAATCAGTTCCCTTCTCTGGGCCTCATTTGTTCACCTGTAAAATGAAGGGGTTCAACTAGATTGATCTTGCTCTAAAATATGTCATTCTGTCATTATGAAGAAACTTCCATCTCAAAAATTCTATAGGCCTGAGGTCCCCACACACTCTATGTTCTATGATACTAAGGCTCTTTCTAGCTCTAAGAGTTTATAATCCATGATTCTAAGGTCCCTTCCTGCTGTAACAGTCCATGTTCTTGTCTCTAAAGCAAGGGTCCTTAACCATTTTGTGCACTATGAACCTCTTCAGCACCTTGGTAAAGCCAATAGACGCCTTCTCAGATTAGTGTTTTTACGCATAAAATAATGTACATAAGATTATAAAGAAAACCAATTATATTGCTAAACGTGCAATCTTTTCCCATTCAAATCCATGGATCCCTTGAAACCTATACATGGAACTTAGGGATCTATAGACCCCAACTGAAGAACCACTGTTCTAAATCCCCTTCTGGCTCTGACTTTCTAAGCCCCCTTCCAGCTCTGACATTCTGTGTTCTGTAATGCTAAGGCCCCTTCCACCTCTGACTTTCTATGTTCTATGGTTCTAAGGCCCCTTCTAGCTCTGACATTCTATTTTCTATGATCCTAAAACTGTTGTGATCCATAACATTCATATTCTAAGTTCCCTTCAAACTCTGACATTCCAAAGTCCCTTTCAGCCTTACATTCTGTTGGGGGGGGGGGACTTGTGGCTTTGAGGTCACAAGTAGCCCTCTAGGTCCTCAAGAGTGGCCCTTTGACTGACTCTAAACTTCACAGAACAAATTCCCTTAATAAAGGGATTTGTTCTGTAAAACTTGGACTCAGTCAAAAGGCTGAGTCACAAATTCTCCACACCTGTTCTGTGTTATATGATCATTAAGTCTCTCCAAGCTCTGACATTCTAGGACCCTTTGACCCAGTCTATGCTACTCCAGGAAAGGAAAGAATACTTCAAGGTCCCAAAGGACAGAAATTTCTACCACTTCAGTTTTTTTACTGAAAGGATCTTTGTAAAATGAGAAATGAAAATTACATAGAAAATCACATAGACAATCATAAATTGCTGGAAGTGAAGATTTACCCATTAATGACACAAGGTCCTTCCTTAAAATGACAGTTTCTTCCTGAAGAACCCAGGACACAGGAACAGCTGGAGCCTCCTTCTTCAGAACCAGTGCATGTCCCATTCTTGTGGCAGGCTTTGTTAGCACACAACTGGAGATCTAAAGGAACATACACAACATATTCATTATTATTCCCTCTCATCTAGCAAGCTTCGCCACTCAGGAACTCTGCTCCACCATCTTGCTACTCAGGTAGACTAGCTGGTCCCTTTTTACGGAGCTTCCCCCACTGCAGGTCATTCCTCTGTACTCTCTCTCTTTTTTTTTTTTTTTTGCTTTTTTAGGCAATTGGGGTTAAGTGACTTGCCCAGGGTCACACAGGTAGTAAGTGTCAAGTGTTTGGTCTGAGGTCAGATTTGAACTCAGGTCCTCCTGACTTCAGGGCTGGTGCTCTATCCAGTGCACCACCTAGCTGCCCCTCATTCCTCTGTACTCTTGTGCAAGACTTATCATCTAAAACAATGGCCTTCTGGTTTGTGTCATGCTAGTTGAAGGACACAACCCCAAAACAAGGAGGCAGTGAGTCTAGGAGAGCAGAAAGAGATGTATAAAGAACAGGGCTCATGTGAAAGCCCTTAGTCTTAAAGGAAAAACAGTAGAAGCTAGAACAGAAGAAGCCCTGGCGAAAATAAACTAAGGATAAACCAATGTATCGGGCAGTCATTCATAGCAGTCAGGATTTCTACCTGCAGCAAAGAAGGCTTGAAAGTAAACATCTCAGGAAAGACTTTTTTTTCAATAACCAGATCAATAAAACTGTCCCACACTCTACCCCAGCCAAAATAGTCTACAAACCATCTTCAAAATATATTACATTATCCTGCATTCTAATGTGGGCTCAGCTCATTCTAATAGTCTGGAAGGCCATGCCCCCTCTTCTTCCTACCAATCCAAATCCTCTCTTCCCTCCATGTTAGGATTCCTGATATAAGTAAGGGTCAGAATAGATTACCTATAAAGATCCAACCACCACTGAGATTTGGTGATGCTCTGATCCAAGGTCTAGCTGCATACTCCATGAACCCTTTGTTGATAAATTCAGTTTACTATGATTTCTCCCTCTTCTGATTTCCTGTAATCTATCCCATTTATTTGTTTGCCCTTCCCATGTGATACCTTATCTGGGGCAGGTAGTTTTGAACTGGCAATTCAAATTTCACTGCTATTTAGCTCTTCTCATGTTAATTTTCTCTCTTAACACTGTAATGACCTTGTATTTCAATTTTCTTTTGAATTTCCTTGTTTTTTCTCTTTCACTTTCCTGTATTTTCTCACAGTGTATAGGGTCTTCAGGCACTAGAAGTTCCCTTTGCCTCACTGGTTCCCCAATGCGAAAGACTTATTGGCTTCTTAAAACTTGACCAATGTACCTACCACAGTTACTGTACCTCCCTAACCCTCTAGGCCCACAACAATTGTGTATCTGCCTCTGAACTAATGAAATCACAAATTTAGCCCATCCTTCCCACCCCCACCCCCCAAAAAAATACCAGTAAGGTAGCCTAACGTATAGAACCATCCAATTAATAAACATAATGAAAGAAGTGAGAAATTCAGCATTGTGGGATAGAAAGAGCCCTGGACTGGGAGACTCGTATTTTAATTCTCGCTCTAACATTTATAATCTGTTACAACTTTGGACAAGTCATTTCCCTTACCTGGGCCTCAGTCTCCTCCCCTATAGAATAAAACAGTTGATCTAGATAAACTCTAAGGTTTGACATTCTTTGAATGTGTCACCTTGGTTCGGGTCCCAACTATGCCATGAAATCACTGAGCAATCAGTCACTTACTTCCCTTCTCTGTGGGTCCCATTTTCTTCATCTTGCAAAGGGAGAAGACTGAGCTAAATGATATCTGGGTTCCTCTCAGCTCTTCCATCATATGATTCATAGGATTCAAAATTATTATTTCTGGTAAGACTCTGAGAATGCTGGGAAAGGGGAAATGGATTTTGCCCAAGGCTAGAGTGTGTCACAGAGCTGCTGATTATGCTCTGCAATTAAGAAATGGCCCAGTTGTGCAGGTGCTCATGGGAAGAATGGTGGTAAAAACTTGTCACTAGGCATGGTAAAGGAAGGAGTGCAGACTGAGCTGCTCTAGCAGTCACAATGATTGAACTGGTACAGAGAAGTCAGCATGAGTGATAGAGAGAAAAAACAGCTAAGTATGTGGAAGTCAATTTAGCGATTCCCCAATAACAAAATGGTAAAAGGCTATACTCAGCTCTCAAAAGAAGAAAAGCAAACTATTGACAATTATATGCAAGATTACTCCAAGTCACTAAAAAGAAGAGAAATGTACAAGATAACACACAATAAAGAGACAAAGATGGAAAGATGGAAATGATAGCTTAGCACAGTGCATGACACATAGTAGGGACTTAATATTTATTTACTGAAAGTCAATGTTGGAAGGAGGGGCTGCAGGGAGACAGGCATACTAATATACTGTCAAGATTATTGAGAAATGGTTCAACCACCCTGGAAAATAATTTGGAATGTAGACTTTTTTTAGAAAAAGTAAATAAAATTACCATACCCTTTAACCCACGCATCCCCTTTTCCGAGAGGTTAAAGACAGAAAGAATGGCCCCATTTACAACAAAATATCCAAGGTAAAACTTTTTTTGTGTGGTATCAAAAAACTAGAAACAAAGAATGTGCCCATCAGTTAGGGAATGGCTAAACAACTGTGGATACGTGAATAAAGGAATATCGCTGACCCACTAAGAAATAGTGAATATGAAGAACTCAGAAAGGCATGCCAAGATACAAACTGATGCAAACTGAAGTAAGCACAATTAAGGAACAATATATATAATGACAACTTAAATGGAAAGCATGTTTGTGCATGCCAACAAAACACACACACACACACACACACACAAATGAATGCTGTGTCATTATAATGATGGCAGCTAGGTGGCATGGTGGATAGAATGCCAGGCCTGAAGTCAGGAATACTCATCTGCCTAAGTTCAAATCTGGCCTCAGACACTTATTAGCTGTGTGACCTTGGGCAATTCTCTTAACCCAGTTTGCCTCAGTTTCTTTATGTCTAAAATGAATTGAAGAAGGAAATGACAAACCACTCCAATATCCCTGCTAAGAAAATCCCAAATAGGGTCATGAAGAGTTGGACATGGCTGAAGTGGCTCAATGACAACAACAATTATCATGACCAAGTCTGGCCCTAGAGGAGAGCTGGGAAAATTTAATTCCTCCTTTTTCTGGAAGTATGAATATGGATGAGCAATAATGCCCACGCTGTCAAATATTGTTGATGTGTTAGTTTTGCTGAACTGATTTTTTATTTTCTCTTATTAATTAATCTTTCTTTTCTTAATCTTTGTCTCAAGGAATGCCTCACCAAGTTAAGAGCAGGGAGGGATACACTGGAAATAGAGTGCAACAACAAAAGGTATCCATAAAAATAATGTATTTTTTTTTAAATTAAGTCAATTCTTCACATCTGCAGGAGGGTTGGGAGTTTGTGAGCCCTAGCTATTTGTGTGGAGATGTAAAGCAGAAGCAGTGACCTTATGAACTGGAGGGAAGGTGGGGAGAGAGAGACAGACAGAGAGAGAGAGACAGAGACAGAGAGAGAGAGAGACAGAGACAGAGAGAGAGAGAGACAGAGAGAGAGAGAGAGACAGAGAGAGAGAGAGACAGAGACAGAGAGAGAGAGACAGAGAGAGAGAGACAGAGAGAGAAGAGAGAGAGAGAGAGAGAGAGAGAGACAGAGACAGAGACAGGGGAGGGGGGAGAGAGACAGAGACAGAGACACAGAGAGAGAGAGAAGGGGGGAGGGGAGAGAGAGACACACACAGAGACACAGAGAGAGAGAGAGGGAGAGAGAGAGAGAAGGGGGGAGGGAAAGGGAGAGGGAGAGAGAGATGTTGTCTAGGTTAGGACAAGGAGTCAGGTGAGTCAGAAGAGGAGATTCCACCTCAGTTAAGGTGAGAATGTGCAACTCTGTGAACAAGAACATTGTAACTGCATAAAAAGGTCCCTAAAAGATATTCATTCCCAAAAAAGCAATAAAAAAGATATTCATTCAACTAGCATTTATTAAGCATCATGCTACCAGCTAGGGGTATAACAACAAAAACCAAATAGTCTCTGTCCTCAGAGAACTTGCGCCATTTTTAAATTCAGCTGGGGGAGAGAGGGCAGAGATAACACATACCAAGAAAGGTCAATACAAAATATATTATATTACAAAGTAACACTGACAGGAGAGGTGAGACATTAACAACAGAGGAACAAGGATATGGGAAACAACTCTCTCAGTGTGACAAGTTTTGCCTGCAGGTTTTATTTCCGTTTTCAAGTCTTGCTGGCAAAGGGAAAGCTAAAGTTTACCAGGCAATATAGTGCCACACTTCCTTGACTGCCATCTTCCCACAAGCATTTATTTCTCAAAAAGGAAGAAAAATGATCAATAAAGGCACACAGCCGAATTGCAGGTGAGTAATTGCATGCTCAACACAAGAAAATATAATGACTATTTATCCATCTCTCTGTGGGAATCAACCCTCCAGGTTCAAGTATCCAGGCCCTGCGTATGGTCAGTTAATCCCCTTGTTCTGTGTTGTCTAGCTGGGGATTACCCCCCTGTGGAAATGAAATGGTCAGGCATCAAATCAGTTATAGGTGAACGTGCAGCAGGGATGGGAGGGGGAGCAGCTCAGTCATCCAACAGCCAAAGGCTGGTTCTTAAAATTTTAGAGTTTGGTATTGTAGTGATGGAGGATCTTGAGAGAGTGTGTACGTCTTCAGAGGGTCCTTGAAAGAACTTACTATCTTCTGTTCCCTACATTCCCAAATTGTTAACCCAAACTAACCCCCTGGAGTAATTTCATAGTATAGAGATTGCATTTTCTTGTTAGTCTCTGAGTTCCCAAAACACAATGGCTCAAGAAATTCTTCCTGTATGAGATAGATAGACAGATAGATAAATAGATAGATAGGTAGGTAGATTGATAGACAGACAGATAGACAGACAGATAGATACATAGACAGATAGATACATAGACAGACAGATAGATAGATAGATAGATAGATAGATAGATAGATAGATAGATAGATAGATAG